GAGTGTCTGAAGGTCGGAGTGTGTGAAGGTCGGAGTGTGTGAAGGTCTGAAGGTCAGAGTGTGTGAAGGTCTGAAGGTCAGAGTGTGTGAAGGTCTGAAGGTCAGAGTGTGTGAAGGTCAGATGGTGTCACAGGTCTGAAGGTCAGAGTGTGTGAAGGTCGGAGTGTGTGAAGGTCGGAGTGTGTGAAGGTCTGAAGGTCAGAGTGTGTGAAGGTCTGAAGGTCAGAGTGTCTGAAGGTCAGAGTGTCTGAAGGTCAGAGTGTCTGAAGGTCAGAGTGTCTGAAGGTCTGAAGGTCAGAGTGTCTGAAGGTCAGAAGGTCGGAGTGTGTGAAGGTCTGAAGGTCAGAGTGTCTGAAGGTCAGTGTCTGAAGGTCAGAGTGTCTGAAGGTCTGAAGGTCAGAGTGTCTGAAGGTCAGATGGTGTGACAGGTCTGAAGGTCGGAGTGTGTGAAGGTCTGAAGGTCAGAGTGTCTGAAGGTCAGTGTCTGAAGGTCTGAAGGTCAGAGTGTGTGAAGGTCAGATGGTGTGACAGGTCTGAGTGTGTGAAGGTCTGAGTGTGTGTGAAGGTCTGAGTGTGTGTGAAGGTCTGAGTGTGTGAAGGTCAGATGGTGTGACAGGTCAGGTGAGCCTCAAGAAAAGGAGCAAACTTGTGTTGTTGTTGTTGTTGAGAGTGAAGTTTCTCCTTTGACCGGTCTGACCAATCAGGAAGCAGCAGAGAGGAACCAGAACCTCCATCAGACGGTTCGTTCCCACGTTGACAACGGATCAGTTAAAATAAACTCACTGTGCTCTTCTGGCGACTTGGTGAGTTGTGGAAGATAAACGGAGATTTTATACGAATGTAAACTGGAAAATGTTTCCGTTTATATTCCGGTTGTTGGATCTGATTTTGATTTGATTCAAAATGACCTAAAAGCAGGTTACATTGTTCATTTTACATTGTTCATGTTACATTGTTCATGTTACATTGTTCATGTTACATTGTTCATGTTGCATTTTTATGTCTATTTTACAACTTTCACATTATTGTCGCGCTCGTAGAACGAGGACGCGCAGCAACGAGTTGATTGACATTTTACTCAGATTACACATTAAAGTGGGATCACACTTCTGAAACCTGTTGAGAGTGAGAATGTAAATCTGAAGACGCGCTGATGTCCCCACAGGGCGTCCCCTTCAGGGCGTCCCCACCGGGCGTCCCCTTCAGGGCGGAGCTTCTGAGCGGACTGAGTGTCGGACGCAGCGTCTCCGTCTCGGGGAGAACCAATGAGAACGCTCGGAGGTGAGCACCCGCCTGCTGTCCGCTTCAATATGTCCACCACGACTTCTTCTAACATTTCTTCTTCTGTGGTGGAGCTTCGCGGTGAACCTGCGGGTCGCGGGCGGCAACATCGCTCTCCACCTGAACGCTCGCCTGAAGGAGCGCGTCTTCGTCAGGAACTCCTTCCTGTCCGAGTGCTGGGGCCCCGAGGAGACAAAGATGGCCGCCGCATTCCCCTTCAGCGCAGGGACGTACTTTGAGGTAACAAGGCGGCGTCCTTCAGCGCGCCTGACCACATTGAAGGTTGTTTACGGCAGCAGTGACTTCGAATAAAGGTTATTGATCTTTGTTTAAAGGAAACCGTATTTACATTTAAAGTTCTGTTCAAAGGGTGCCAAGAAAATCCACGTTGGTCACTTAAATCTGCTTCCCCCCGTTGTGATGCCTGCTTTGACCTTCAGCAGGTTGTCTTCACGTCTACGTCCTAAATGCAGCGAGCTGCTGCTGTGTCTTAACAAGCAATTTAACAGATGTCTCCAATAAAGTGGCCAGTAGGAGTATACAAATGTTTAATATAGTTCTTTAGGATGCTGGAACATCTGGGCACAGCAGTAGAGCACCAGGTTTTATACTTTTAGAACTTCATGACAAACACGACGTCTGACGTAGATGGTTTGGTGTTTGTAGATGATCGTCCTCTGTGGCCCTCGGGGGTTCAAAGTCGCCGTGGACGGCGTCCACCAGCTGGACTACCAACACCGGGTCCAGGACCTGAGCCGGGTCTCAGAGCTGGAGGTCCTGGGAGACGTCACGCTGATGGACCTCAAGGTCTTCTGACCTGTGACCTCATTGCTGACCATTTCACAGAATGAAGCCACCAGGAGAAGTTCTTCATCTTGATGAACAAGATACGAGTCTTTAATTCTTACGTGTTGATTTCAAGGAGTCATTTTCCAATCGAACTAATAAATGTACGAGAAGATGAAACTTCTCATAGAATCACATTAAAAGTACAACAAACAGGACTATTGGCTCTGATTGTTAAAGTCAGCGCTCAAATGATTGGCAGCCCGTGATGTGTTTGTGCAGCCGCCACGGCTGATCGACCTGAAGAAACAGCCAGTTAGCTTAGCATAAACGCCTCTGGGTGAAGAGCAGAAAGTGATGACGAGCGACACATTAACACTTAGATCAAGTTTTATTTAAAAAAAAAGTAACTGTACAAATAAACAAATGACATTGAATCCATATTTAAAAACTCCCTCAGAAAAACATACTAATATAGCAGGTTTTATAAATATAAAAAGAGTTCTGATCCAAACCAGCAGTAGAGTAAACTGGTTGGGGTTTGCGATCTCTGGGCTGAGTGTGCAGGAGCCCTCCCAGCATGCACTGGGGTAGCGAGGTAGCGGGCCTTTCAGAAGGCTGCGAGGTGGTGCTCAGAAGTCGGCGTCCAGCCTGAAGGTGTTGTCGGTGGTGCCGGACATCACGCCCATCCTCTGGTACTCGCCCACACGCTTCTCAAAGAAGTTGGTCTTCCCCTCCAGAGAGATGTTCTCCATGAAGTCAAAGGGGTTCTCCACCCGGTAGATCTGCAGAGAGGAGCCAGTTAGTCTACAGGCACAGCCCCCTACCCGGGTCCTACCACGACCCCCCCCCCCCAGGCGAACTCGGTCTGTTCAGTCCAGCGTCTGTGTCGTGCTGCTGTCGCTCTGCCGGCGAACCACTCGTCCCCCGGTCAGAACGTCTGCAGCAGCACTCAGCCCCCATCACCGGCTGAGGTCCGTACCCCTGCGCGTCTCATCACCACAGACCGAACCCGGCGGCTCTGCTGGGACGCCCTTACCTTGGAGAAGCCCAGCTCCAGCATCAGCCTGTCGGCCACGAACTCGATGTACCGCTTCATCAGCTCGCAGTTCATCCCGATCAGCTTCACCGGCAGAGCCTCCGTCAGGAACTCCTGAGGGGAACCAACCAGAGACCAGTGAGACCAGTTTCCCCAGCGACCGAGTGGGGCGGAGAACCGGCAGCGCGTTGGCCACCCACCTGCTCGATCTCCACGGCGTTCTGGATGATCTTGGAGACCTTTTCTACCGACGGTTTGTTTACCAGGTGTTTGAACATCAGGCAGGCAAAGTCACAGTGGAGACCCTGAAACCAGTAACAGGAACCAGTGAGGACCCCCACGCACGCAGTGAGACCAGCAACGAACCCCGATCAATGAGCAATGATGACCTCGTCTCTGCTGATCAGCTCGTTGGAGAAAGTCAGGCCGGGCATCAGGCCTCTCTTCTTCAGCCAGAAGATGGCAGCGAAGGAACCAGAGAAGAAGATGCCCTCCACGGCAGCGAAGGCCACCACGCGTTCTCCTGGAGGAACCAGAGAGAGCGGATCAATACCCGGTATCGGCCCCCGCTGGCCCCACGACAGGAAGTTCCCGTGTCTTTACCGTAGTTGGCAGCCTGGTTACCGATCCAGTTGATGGCCCAGTCGGCCTTCTTCTTCACACACGGCAGAGTCTCAATGGCATTGAAGAGGTATTCTCTGCGGGTCAGTGAACGCACCGTGAGACAACCAGTAGGGACCCCCGACAGACCCGTAGAGACCCCCGACAGACCCGTAGAGACCAGCTCACCTCTCGCTGGGCTCCTTGATGTAGGTGTTGATGAGGAGGCTGTACATCTCTGAGTGGATGTTCTCCATGGCGATCTGGAAACCATAGAAACATCTGGCCTCCGTGACCTGCACCTCCTGGGTGAAGCGCTCCACCTGGGGGTCACACGACCAGGGGAATATTTTAGGATGTTCGAGGTAGCATTTAGGTTTGTAATACAACTCAAATTAAAACCAACATGAGAAACTGTTGCTGCCTGCTCACCAAGTTCTCGTTGACGATGCCGTCGCTGGCGGCGAAGAAGGCCAACACGTGAGAGATGAAGAACCGCTCTTCGTCCTTCAGAGACTCCCAGTGCTGCAGGTCCTTGGACAGATCCACCTGGACGAAATACAGGAAGTGAGCATCACCAGACACCTGGAGGCCCCGCCCACACGCATCCTCATCTCCGTGGTTACCTCCTCTGCTGTCCAGAAAGAGGCCTCGGCCTTCTTGTACATCTGCCAGATGTCGTGGTACTTGATGGGGAAGATGACAAAGCGGCGAGGGTTGTCCTTCAGTAGAGGCTCCTCCTCTACCTCATTGCCGCTCTTCTTCACTGCTTTTGCCTGAGACACAGAACACACGCGTTGCTGCACACGGTTCACTTGAGTCTTTAAATGACCAACTAATCAGCAGAGTTCATGTTATGGATCACAAACTGTTCTTGGACACCCTGTTGGCCTCCAGGTAACATTTGAGAAAGCTACGATCAATCTACACATTAATCAATGAGTCGTGTCGAAACATCAATCACGGATCTATTAAGAACACTGTGGATCCGCTGCGGATCAATACGAGCATTCATCATTTCCAGTGACAATGTTGCTGCATCAATCAACATGATCTCGATCCACTCACGCGCCCCTCAAAGGCATCGATCACCGACAGAAACAGCTGATCCAACTTTGGCGCCAGAACCGAGACTTTTGGCGCCACGAGAGCTAAACTAATCAAAACGGCGTAACAACCCCAGACTTTAAGGAGAACAGAGGCACTCTGCGTGAGATGACGTCACTCACCGTGGCGTCATTGAAGAGGTTTCGCGCGGTTTTAGACGCCAGGATGCGGCTCGCGCTCAGACTCGGAGGCTGAAAGAGAGAAAAGGCCTCCGTCAAACAGGTACTTGTACACACAGCTAGTACCTTTACATACACCTAGTACTTGTACCGTGATCCCATCTGCTGAAATACACACTCGGAGAGTCTGCTGGTTCTCACCGTGTTCTCTTTGTCCAGCGCCATGTTGTCCATCTGCCCGCTGAGGGACTTCTCCTTCTTCACGGAGAGAGGACTGCGAGTAGGAAACATGTCGAGCTCCTCCAGAAGCGCACAAGAGGTTCAAGTCGAGGGATTAAGCGCTGAAGCTCGAACAGAAGGACGCGAGGAGACGAGGAGAGCAGACTGAAGCGGCTCCCGATGTCCGCTGCCTTCTTTATTGGAATCTTGGCGGCAGAAGAGACCGGCCAATAGGGACGCGAGGGTCTCTTTAAGTGACGCTGTGTCGGAGCCAATCAGGTGGCGAAGCCGCCATCACGTGCTGCTGCATTGCCATCCGGCTGTTTGAGCCGAGGTTACAAAACTCCACAAAAGAGACGTTACGAAACTCTTTGAATGAGTTTACGGATAACGTATGATGTTAAACTGTGGTAAAATAAATCAGTTCAGTAAATGTGTTTGGTATCATTTTGAAGAGTAACAGGATATTAGCTTTTATTTCAATATTTTAACGTGTCGATTGGCTCTTTTTAGTTTTAATAGTATGATAGATGTGTGACGTTGAGAGACAATTTCTTCCTTACTGTTGTTGCATAACAAAGGCGTTGTCTCTAAATTTAAGCGCAAAAATGAGAATTTAGCTGAGCACGTTTTTTTTTATGAACAATACTTAGCGACGTTGTGATAAACATAGATCACTTCAAGTGGTTTTAGTTTAGAGAATTTCTAAATTGTGACACATTTTGATTATTTTCCCGTCACTTTAATTAAACAAACACCAATTTAGCGCCAGAATAGTTGGATTTGTGTCTTTGGTTAACCGGATGTGTAGTACCTTCCATCCGTTCATGTTTCGGGCTCCAAAATATCAGTTGTATCATCATTTAAAGTCTAAATTCAGACCGTTTAAAGCGAATCTGATGGTAAATCCATGGTAAATCGACAACCGTTTCCGGTTTCCCGCGGAAGCGAGGGCGCTGATTGGCTGTTGTGCGTGTGTTTGTGTGTGTGTGTGTGTGTGTGTGTGTGTTTGAGAGACTTCTTGTGCCGTTGCTGCCTCCCTCTGGGAGCTCGAGTAGTACGCCCGTCTCACGAAACCAAAAACAATACACTTTTTAATTTGCAGTCCAGTAACACACATCTATATAGAAATGTATGTCCTCTTTGGGCTTTGTTGGAAACACTGCAATAATGTTCTACCTTAGTACGACAAAGTCTGTTCTCTTTCACTTAGAGGCACATGGGGTTCTGCGTCATCTGATAATCATGCTTTGTGCGTCGATGTTTACAATCTTGTGGTGCCAAAGATGATCGTATCCATGTGGTGTGTGTGTGTGTGTGTGTGTGTGTGTGTGTGTGTGTGTGTGTGTGTGTGTGTGTGTATATATTACTTCCTATCTGTTTAGAATAAAAACATATAGAAGGTTCCTAGACAGCTTGTTTCTACCCGGTGTTTTTATGCAGACGGGCTGAATTAAACACGACAGCCGTTGATGGAAACATGACCGCTAACGTCGGAGAAGAAGCAGAAAAAGATCAAGAGGCCAAACTGCAGCTGTTGAAAGGCAAGACAGCTGTTAGCATGTAGCTCATATCAACTGTTTACGTTTCTTTATCTGAGGTCAAAGCAATGACGAACTGTCCTCACCAGACTCAATATTTTAGGTTAGAATCGAATTGTACGATTAACAGTGCTGAATTTTTAGGTTTTTGTCAGTTAATTTAATAAAATGGGGTCTTTCATAACAAGCCAGCTGTGTCTATTTGACATTTTTACGTCGGTTTGGGAAGATTCCTCCTGCACAGACGTGCAGAGACGTGACGCCAGACTCCGTTCAACATGCGTACGATTCAATGTTTTCGTTCTTAAAGAGACCTTAACATGAGCACTAAAATATACAATTTTACTGTTTATCTGAATACTAAGTTATACGGCTCAGTTCGGCTGAAAAAATCC